AAAAGTTGTTCCTATAATACCGTCTTAATTTTTTATAGTAAATAGTTAATAATTAAAAAAAATTTCTATACGTAGTTTGTTATTGAGTATTTTCACATATATCAATAACACATTTCAACTTTCATTCTTTTGTTATTTTAAAGTCATTAATTTAATTTGCATAAAGTTGAAAGATTAGGATAACTAAAAAGATCAAAGGGAGTAATTGATTCTTTTAATACCTTAACATCAATCTAAATATCACTTTTTAATATTTTATCATGTAATTCTTTTAATTTTTTCTCTTAGCCTTTTTTAATCAACAAAATTAAATAATTTAATGCCCACATATCATAGTGACACCTAAACTTGAGATGTAGCAATTAAGTTATATTTAGCATAATTCATCTATACAGAAGATAAATTAGTTTTTGGATAGAAAATCTAATTAGTGAACTTGCTCCCAACCATGCCATTTTGAGCCTAACTAACCTCACGGTCATACTACCATTCTCTACAAAGAAGAGCAAAACCTAATGACAAATATTGAAAAAGCAAAGCAAAGCAAAGCAAAAAAACTCACAAAGAGAGAGGGAAACTCTCACAAGAAATAAGAAAACTCCTTCCTTTAGTCATCAATCCTAACTACCAGGAGGTAGGGAGGGAGGGAGGGAGGGAGTCAAGTAGTGACTAAGGCAAAAGACTAAACCAAGTTCTCAATTCCCCAATTCAAAGCTATAAGAGACAATCTATTTCTTATGAAAATAAAAAAATCTTAAATTTAAGTTTCATAACAATAACATGAGAGGAGGGTGGGCTAAACGCCAACAGAAAAAATATTAAGTCCCTTGCTTCCATATAGTCAGGCCGTTCAACTGAAGTCGCTGCATACTTGGATCCTTGTTGCCCAGCATTATGGTTAAGACCGGCCCAACATACAATTTGAAGAATTGTTACTTTTAAGGCTATAATAGAAGAATTGTTAAGCCCAATAGAAATCCCACTCGGGCCGGACACTTCATTCGAGCGTCGTTGTTTCGTTTTTCTTTCTAACATTGGAAAGTGATGGAGCGGCAGAAGCCCCTCAAAGCCGAACAGGCCGAATGGAGGTGACCTCCGTTGATTTCCATTTTAAAGTTTTATAGAGAAATTTACGAAAAGACCCCGCAATTAATAATTTATATTCGGTTTGATGTAAGAAATAGGATTTTGGTTTTACCAAAGCCAAAATCTTCTCCACTGCCTATACATATTGCAATACAGTGGGGGATTGAGGTTAATTTTGTGAAGGATTTTTTTTTTTTCTTTTTGTTTTTTTTTTAAACAATATGCAATTTTGGAAGGAAAGTAAAATGAGATTTTCAAGGTCTCGATGAGACTCGAAACCCCAATCAACAATAGCAAACGCCTAAAGGTTTGAGGTGAACCATTAGAACTTGAAGGCCAGGTTCTATGAAGGATCGAGTATAATTTGAAGTATAGTTTTTCATTAATTGTAGTAATATACATGCTGCTCTTTGTACATTGAGTTTATTAGATATATAAAATCTCACATTCTATCCCAAAAATAGAAGAGAAAAGAGAGACCCAACGTCTCTAAATGAAAAATGTTTGAGATAATTTTTTTTACACTTTTATATGTTATTTAATAATTTTTTTATTTCACTAAAATTTATAAAATTGTATGTGTTTATTTATTTAATAACACATAAAAATTTTAAAAAAATTAAATAAAAATGTTATTGCCGTATCATTAACCTTTCTTAATTTCCTCCGCGCAGCCGCGCTGCCATGCCGCCAGTATGAACCATATGGGCCTGCGCGGCAAGACACCCTCCTCCAAGGCATCCGTCGGACTTCCATCACCGTAATGGGCCCATTCAGACGAAAACGAGAGAATGATCAAGATGAAAAATGGAAAATTCATCTTGAAGGTGCATCGAATGGATTGGACAACGTAAGAGGTGGGCCTTGGGAGTTGGTGGGGAGGCGCGGCATCATCTTCCTTAATTCCACTTCTAAGAAATTTATTGTGGGCAAAGCACATTGGAACATCTTTCCCATCCAAACGCCATTCTTGCAGTCTAATATTTCGGCCAGCAATTACCCAGAAGTTGAAGTCTGGAAGATGAAATTTCTATAGGCAGAAAAACGCGTATTTTAAGCCCTCAAACTCTACCCAAATCGTTGTTAAGTTCCTCAATTTTGAAATTGATAAATAAACTCCTGATGTCCATGGCTTATCAAATTGAGTCGAAATTAAGCCTTCAAACTTACATTCAGTTGAATTTCAAATTATATCGGAGGTGAGGAACAATTGGTTGCATTGCATCAAATGAAGGTTAAGTAACAAAATTTTTAATAAAGAGTAAGGCTAGGGACTAAAGAGGATTTTACCCTCAACTGCTGTAGAGAGAACTTTTATCCTAAACAAATCTAAGACAATACCTACTCAAGATTTTTAATGTTAGAAGTTGAAGTCCATGACGAGGTCCCCAAATTAAATAAGTATATATCTATGGATATGACAATAAATAAACAATAAAAGAGGTCAATGTGTGCATCTTGGATTAAACTTTTCTGGAAGCGATGATAAAGTTTTCAAATATATTGACGACCATAGAAAAGATTAAAAAAAGCATTGAGACCCTCAAAATTTGAAAATATCTTAAACGATGTCCACGCTGTTGTGTTCAATGGAGAAAAAGGGACGACGATCCGAACGATAAACCTTTGATTTGGCTGCTTCCTAATTACTCAAATAAATACAATAATATATGCAAGTTCTAGTTTCTTATTTTAATTTTGAGTTCGATTGATAGCCTAGAGCAGGTGATATATAGAGCTGGTAAAGTATAGATCATTTTACTGGTATAGAGCCTTGAAAAAGCCTAATTTATCACTTTAAATATGGCAACACCAAGTACAGCACTACAGAGTTGAACTAACATTGAGAGTGCAGCTTATTACCAAAAAAAAAAAAAAAACCCATTGAGTGCAGCTGTTTAATTTTGTGGGTTAGCCTATTTAACTTCAAGGGGAAATGAGTACCTAAAGTAATGTAAGAAACTAATCTAGGAATTATAATGAAATGGAGTACTTCTTGTACTCCATAATAATATAATTAATTCTTGTTCGTCGATTAAAAGAAAAGTCCGAGTTCAATTGGAAAATTGCTTAGCATCTTTCGTGTTGGAACATAAACTCTAAATTAGGCTGGAAAATCAAAGAACATTATCTTTAATTAACCTTTATATAAGCTTGAACAACAACATACGAAAGTACCGATCAAGAAATGGAAAAAACAACATATGACAGTTCCAGACACCAGCTGTTGGGCTTCAGTTTCTAATATCTGCTGCAATTCATCACAAAATATGAACCCTGGCCGACCCTAGCTTGGTTCTGAATAAGCATGAGTAGACGACTTGACTACAGTTCCTGTGCAGATCTTTGTGCAAGGTTAGCTCAATTGCACTTTATTTGTATCCTTAGGTTGTGTACGTAGCTAGCCTTCTGCTTTATAGGTTGTCTTCTGATTGCTAGTCCATGATCAATGGTGCAGACGATAACTCCCTGCTATCCTTAGGTTTTTTATTTTTTCCACTAATGAAGAAAATGTTACAAAACGTTCCTAATTACTTTATATATGTTCACATTTGACCACTTCTTTATTTGTTCATTCTACATTAATCTCAAATGCTACTGTCTCTATACACATACACACCCACACATACATTCACATTATTCTTTGTTCATCCTAAATTAATTAATGTCAAATGCTTTAGAACTGAAACAAACATCCTTACAGCTTTTATTGATTGATATGCTTTCTCGCATATATTAGCGACCTATTGTACGTGTTTGTATTCTTCTTCTTCTTCTCCTTCAATCTCCAGCAAGTTCTTCCTCACTGCATCTGTAGTCATCTTCAAGAATTCCGATAAGTCCCTATAATATCAAAAGAAAGAATCATCAATACAGAAAATTATAAACAAATTCATAATTTTTTGTAATTAGTTAAGACCGTTATTCTCATATATATAGTCTTATATTTTCTATCATAGGATAAAGGAAATACATAATACCCCTTGTATTCTATAAATGATAAAATTTTCTTTGCCGCTCAAGAAAAAAGGGAATACATAATAACCTCTCTTTATATATTTAATCTATTTGTTCCTATTGAAAATCCTGCATGTGGGCTCAACACAAAGCTTGCATCCAACCTAAAACCAATTGGCAATAGGTGGAGTAGCCCTCCTTGTATTTAACTCA